CTGTGGGTTAAACCATAGAGCCTAGGACTTGCCAATCAGAAGGTCGGCGGTTTGAATCCCCGCGATGGGGTGAGCTCCTGTTGCTCGGTCCCTGCTCCTGCCAACCTAGCAGTTCGAAAGCACGTCAAAGTGCAAATAGATAAATAGGTACCGCTCCGGCAGGAAGGTAAATGGCGTTTCCGTGCGCTGCTCTGGTTCGCCAGAAGCGGCTTAGTCCTGCTGGCCACATGACCCAGAAGCTGTACGCCAGCTCCCTCGGCCAATAAAGCGAGATGAGCACCGCAACCCCAGAGTCGTCCGCGACTGGACCTAACGGTCAGGGGTCCCTTTACTATGGAGAACAAGGCTATCACTGGAAGGGTCGTAGCTCAAGGGTACGGCATCCACCTTGCATGCAGAAGGTCCCGGGTTCAATTCTCGGCTTCTCTAGGTAGAGCTGGGAGAGACTCCCTGCCTGAAACCCTGGAGAGAAGCTGCCAGTCTGTGTGGAGAACACTGAGCTTGATGGACTAGTGATCTGACAGCTTCCTATGTTCCTGCACATGAATGTCAGAAGCAAATCAAAACTTTCTTCACGGGCCTTACTTGTCTCTGTGCTCCTTCAGTTTTGAAAAACATTTGGTCACAAGCTTTGCAAGATATTTCGGGTTTTGTTTTTTGTTTTTTTGAGAGAGACTTCTTGCAAAACAAATCAAAAACCTATCTTTTTAGAGAACAGAACTATCCGAAATGCTTTTTGTGGGGAGTAGCTTTTTGGCACACCAGAAAGGCAATCATCTCATTTTATAATTATCAACAACGCCCAAGAGTTCTCAGTATATCAACAAGACGAATGTATATTTATAAACCGAATAGAGGTGTTTATTAGGGGACTCTTTTTTGTTGTTGTTTAAAAAAAAGGAGGAGAAAGAGGAGAAGGCTTATTCAGGAAGAAAAGCACACACAAGTTGCCAAGCAACATGGACAAACTATTTATAAAACTCCACTTTTTTTAATTAAAAAAAGATGAGGCTAAAATTTCCAGGCATGTGTGGGCTTTGAAGAGAGATGACAAGTGCTCCTTAATTACTATTCCAAGGTGAAAATGAAAAAAAAAAACATATAGCAGCAGTAAGAAGTAAGAAAAAAGGACTGTGCTGACATACCGGAATGCCTTCAGTTTCCAGAATGAGGCTGGGAACATGTCGGGCAGAGAGTGCGACACGGATCGCTTCCCTGATGCGTTTCACCAAATCTGGGCTGAACTCCTGGTTGGTGGCCACCTTTAGGAAAAGGATCACCCTTTCTTCGCCGTCTTTGTTGTACTGAGGGACGCAGAGGCTGTCCGAAACCTCCTCAAAAGCTTCCACTGAAGAGACAAAGGAAATGTCGGCTTAGACTTATTCGTGCCCCCACCCCCAAGGCAGGGAACAGTAAACATGTGCCCGTTATCAAGCCAGGCCATGGTGGCTTGCAGGGGCAGCTGGCACTCCATAAGCCTGGTAGGGCAGAAGGCAGGGAGCCCAATGGCGCCAGAGTCAATGGCAGGCACAGCCAACTTGGTCTAGTTTTGTCCCCATTTTCCTCCGTACAGAGGAAACGGATGGTCTCAGCACTCTTAACTAACTGCAGTTCCCAGGATTCTTTGGGGGAAGAAGCCCTGACTGTTTTAAGTGAGATAGTGTAGCCTTTTAGGCCTTTCTCATGGGTGGAAGGGCATTGCGCCTGAGGAGGGAAGAAGGAGTCAACAGACACCGAAGGGTTAAACCAGAGAAAGAGCTATTTATTCTGCCTTCCTGGTAGCAGAAGGAGCTAGCGTGATAACTCACAAGCAAGCACAAGTTTTACAGCCATTGCACCCAGCATATATTCCCTCCAGTTCCCTTTGCCCCCCCCCTTCTCCCCCTCCTCAGGAGGAGAAGAGAAGACTCCCTGGAAAAGACCCTGATGTTGGGAAAGATGGAGGGCACAAGGAGAAGGGGGCGACAGAGGACGAGATGGTTGGACAGTGTTCTCGAAGCTACCAACATGAGTTTGGCAGTGGGAGACAGGAGGGCCTGGCGTGCTCTGGTCCATGGGGTCACAAAGAGTCGGACACGACTAAACGACTAAACAAGAAGGGCAGAAGCAGGGAGACTAACAGCAGGTGGCGCCAGAGGCAATGGCAGGCAGAGGCAACTAGTTCTAGATTTGTCCCCACCTTCCTTCTCCTCCCTGCTGAGTTCTCCAAAGACAACACTGAGCCCAAGGAGGAAGCAGCTGTCAGGCACTGCCAGCCCTCTGAACTAAATGTAGCTAAGAAAGCAGGCAGTTGGGGGCGCTGAGAACAAACTAGCCTAGTGGGGCAGTGCCCCATTCACTGTAATGGAGCAAGCCTCCTTTGATGTTCTTAAGAGCCTCTTTTGGGAGTGTCAACTAAAGGGACAACATAAGGCTATTTAATTTTGGACCTTAAAACCACGAGCATTTGGGCCAGATTTTTCCTATTCCTGTCCGCCAGTCTTTTTGAGCAACCGTCAGGTTGGTTCCCCGAAGCGGAACAAATGAAGAACTAGTTTTATCGAACGGTAATTTGTTGTGGTGTTTAATCCTCATTTTATCTTTCAATGTGACCTCAGCGTATTTGTATGTTGCTGCTGTGACCTGCCCTGGGATCATTTTATAAAGAAGGGCAGGGCGTAAACTTCACAATAAATTACTAAGCCTCTCTCGTCTACCAAAAACACGAGTTTTCCTTAAGCAATTTTTCAAATTATCCTGTGCAGCACAGTGGCTTTCAAACCCAAGTTTCAGGAGACCTTGGGGAAGTATCTCATGTGTTCCTTCGTGAGATAATCTACAATGGCATCTCCAGGTAAAAGGCTTAGGTAGCAAATGATGAGAAAGAGTGTCTGTCTAAGAAATTAAAGAGCCTTCCCCAACCTGGCTGGGGCTGAGAGTTGAGAGCCTGCCTTAGATGCCAAAGCAACTTGCTTGGCATTGGACTGGGTACCAATGGACCATTGGACTGGGAGAAGGAGGGATTTGCTGTTTTGCCTCGGGCAGCAGTATGCCATGGGCCAGCCCTGCATCAAAGGAAAGGTTGTGCCACCTGACGAAGACCACAGGATGCTGAAACAGAGGAGAGGGGGAGAAAAGAGTAGGGGGAGTTTCTGAAATTTCCTGGCCCAGCCTCAGAAACGTCAGCCAGCCAGCAGAGCCAGACTGACACTGTGTCCCCGTATTCCCAGCCAACAAGTGCACAGCATGCCATTCTGCTATCTGCCACTAAGCATTCTTCACATATGGTCACGCCAAAGTGATGGGCATACCTGCAGCCAAGCATGACAATGCCTCCTGTCTTGGGGTTGATCTTGCAATAGTCGCCGTGAGCCCAGACACCTGTCCAGAAAAACCCACATGGAGGGCAACCAGGTCAATTATCAACAATCCAGGCCCGGATGGCACACAAATCTGTTTTCACATTCACAAGAACAGTGGAAATTGATGGAACAGATTTAAAAAACAACAACACAATACAGTACAATGTTTTGGGTATAGGGTAGGTATAGGGCGGTATATAAAATCAATTTTAAAAATGTTTACAAGAACACAGAAAACTAGAAGAGTTGTAGGGGGGTTCAGGGATTCAAGCCACTCTCCTTTTAACTTATTATGTTTACTGAATAACCCAGTGGTTCTCAAACCTTTTTCTCTGGACCACACTTTCAGAATAAATATTTGCTCGGGCCACACTGAATTTTTTATTGATAAGAATACATTGGAACACAAAAAGAAACAACTCCTAGTAGTGCTTGATTTATAACATAGAACACAACTACTTTGTAATATGATCATGGGACATCCAGAAAGTAAAAAAAATGCAGCGGCGTAAGAACACAAGTCATTCCCAAAATATCATTATAAATGAGCCTCTTACATATGTACCTTAAGTCTGTATACAACCTCAATGAGAGGTGAGAGCTTGCTTTTGCCAGGTAATCTCCTTAGTTTTAGGTCTAATTTAAGACAGACAAACTCTCATCTCCTCATCAACACAAATAAGCCTTTGTATTTTCTGATCTTTCACATCTGTCAAGAGCTGAAAATCCCTGTTCCTGCCACACCCTTGGAGAACCACTGGAATAACCTTTCAGACCAGGGGTAAGGAACCTTTGGCCCTCCATACGTTCATGAAATCCTAAGAGCTGGGGGAGATGCCAGGCTTGGGGGAGCCATCTCAAGTGCTCTCCCAGGCCACCCACCATTGAACAGGACCCAGGGGCGTGGTATCGCACCAGGGAGCCCCAAAACCGGGCGCCTGAAGGGATAGAAAGTCCACCCTAACTCCTGGAACAAACAAGGAGACAGACGAAGAGGTCTGTCAAACCCGGGTCTAGGGAGCCTACTGTCACAGACTGAACCCCCACCCCACCCCCTGTCCAAATTCAACCGTTCTGCAATTCGTGCTGCCTTGTTTTATTTTGCTTAGTTCAGTTCGGTCCTTCTCTTCTATTGTAAAAAATATATATTTGAGGGGTTTGCTTTGATGGGTGAGCGCAAAGGAGGATGAAAATGGAGGAGGCGCTGTCCCAAGAGGGTTTTCCCCAAGGACCTATATCTTTATTTAGTTTTTTTCCCTTGGAATGGTTGGAAGCAACCCCCTTCTTCTTCTTCTAACTGTATCTCCCCCGTTTCTTTCTGATCTCCTTTCACTCTCATATTGGGGTGACCTCCCCCTCTCCTTATTTTTACCTCTGCCACCACCACCACCACCATGATTACCCCCTGTCGCCCACCCCTAGGGCCCCCACCACACCGGGGAAACAAGAGAAAGCCAGGCTGGTTGTGTTGCGAAATAAATCAAAACTCCAAGCCAGGGAAAAACACACTCCAACTGGCTGAACAATGCCTTCCAATTATTGTCACTAATATATAATATATAACATATAATATAATACATATACTACGCTAATATATACTAATATATAATGTATAGTATATAATAATGATATATTAGACCTGCTCTATATAACATACAGGCAGAGGGCGCTCCGATCTCGCAGCCGCCGCCGCCAATTCCATCTCGCTCCTGATTTCCAGGGCCTGGGACTCGGAGGCACGTGGCCTCTGGCGGCGGGCGGGGAGCAAGCTCGCCGTATGCACAGAGGAGCGCCACTCTTCACTTTCGCGTCTCTATAATGCGCACCTTCTCCTTCCCGCTCCGCGTGGACATAAACAGGATAAGTTCCGTTCCAGAGCGGAAGTGACGATAGAAGAGGCGGCGGCGGCGGCTTCCCAATCATGAGGATTTTTGTTGTCGTTCTAGCTGTGTAAATCCCTAATAGACGCAGCCGGGGGGAGAACAGTCTCTGAGGAAGGCGACGGCGCGAAACGTGAAGGCCGAGACTCTCGCAGAAGAAAAGGGGCGCAGAAGGCTACATCCCTCCCTCACGAAATCAGCTCTATGGTATTAGCCGTGGCGCAGGTGATGACGTGTTTCCGCTGCGCCTTGACCGAACCAAGATGGCGGCGGCCTTGAGTGGCCAGTGGATGCGGAGCTGCTTCGCTTTCTTCAGGTATCTGTGGGAAGGAACCCGCTTCCCTCACTTCGCTCCGCCGAGCGGCTCCTGCAGTGAATTAGTAAATCCTCAGTAGATACTTTAAGCGAAATTTGATATGGACACCCAGTTAAGTGTAACAGCACCCAGTTTGTATTCACTGTACAAATCTCACTTCTGTTGCTGTTGTTTTTTAGCTGCTCGTTCAGTTTGCTCATACCCGGAAGTACCTTGTCTGCATTGTTTTATTTGGATTATTTTGCTTGTTTTGCACCGTGAGGGTGGACTGGACGTGTATTAAATAAAGAAATAAATATCTGCCTCTTCAAAGGTACCAGGTATATATACCAGAGTCTCAGTCTGGTAGTTTTACTGTACCAGACACATCATAACCTCTCCTATAGTTTCTGACATGGCACATCAGAGGTTGTCGTGTTTCAGCAACGTCCACAGGACCCATAGCTCCGTCGGGTTCAATTTGTGTATAATCATCAGTTCTTTGTACAGGCAGGGATCAAAGGGCCTACATTCCAAAGGTCTTAAAGCCTGGATGGTGCATCGAGATGATCCCCATTTTGGCCAAGCACATTCCAACAAAGACATCATCTGTTGGGGACAGCTCAGTGTCCTGCAGTCACCTGCAGCTGCTGCACTGACAGCCATGACATGACAAAGCCCCCACCACCAGCATTGTGTGGATAGAAGGATGCCGGATACAATGACTGGGATAAAATTCTTAGTGTTGGTGTCCCTGATTGGCCGGGCTTTGCTGATGACATCTCCAGCAAAAAGATCTTTGTCAGGGTCCAGATGCTCAAGGAATTCTACAATGTTGCACGTTTTCACAAATATGTTATTGTCACCCTTCAACACAAAGCAGATGTGGGGGCAGTCCTCTGCCGCCCACTGAATGAAATGCCGCTCCTTCCGAGAGTGGAAGCAACCGTCCCTCTGGGAAAGGCTGAGAACGGAGGTCAGCCGGGCAGCACCACAAGTAACAAAAGAAAACGGCTGGCAGGCAGAAATCCAACAGGTCCACATCGGGAAAGACTCTCGGCTTGCCCTGCAACCCCTTTCCCCAGGAAAGTGGGCCCTTCGCGGACCCCCTTGGGGAAACGCAATAGGCACTTTCGGGGATGCCTCCAGGCCAGGATCACCACAGCAACGACGGAGTCTGCCCACGCGGCGCTCTGGCTGCAGCAGCCTCAGGGTTGGGGCAGGGGGTCCTCGTCAGTTCAGCTTATTGCCTATAGCCAAGGCCTTCTTCCCAATGGGCACTTCCCACAAAGCAAGACATTCTTCTAGAATCACACAACGTAAATGTAACATCACACAGCATAAAAATTTGGAAGTACAGTGCATTCCTTCTCCCAAATGCTCTGGGGCTCTTCCCCAAATGCAAAGTTGTCTTAAGGGGAAGGGAGAGGAAGATAATCATATTGCACCCTTCTGCCAATCATCTTGACGCGGGAGGCTGAAAGGGAAATGGTTGAGAAAGATGCGGGTGCAGCAGTAACTCCCTACAGCAGTGGGGATTGATGGGAGTTGTAGTACAAAACATCTGGAGGGCACCAGCTTGACAAAAGCTGCCCTACAGTATAGGGGCTGTGTTTGATTCTGGAAGTGGAGAGCAAAAGCCAAAGAGTACTGGCCAGTCTCTGTAGACCAATATAAATAAAATTCAAGGGAAGCGTAGATTTTCTGTTGCAAAATAAACGAGGCGAATCACATAAACATTCCTAGTTAACATTTATTATAAACACCAGGTGGGCTGTTGAGACTTTTCACAAACTGCAGAATAAAAGAGGCAGGGTGCAGTAGGAGAGGTAAGTCAACAGAAGCTCTATCACAACTATGACAAGTGCTATTCAGTTTTCTTCTGAGCTTCTCTGAAACCATGAGGTTTAAACACTTGCTCTGTGATAAATGCAACTAATAATCCAGGTTGGTGAATAGAACATATTTCACCAAACCAAAAATACTCTATTAAAACTTGCTAGCTAGATCGCATGTCCAGAGTAGTCCCAAAAGTTACAATGATGCAATTTGCTGGTGTGGGAAATGTACTAGATGCTGAAGACAAAATTGTTGAGCTATTGTTGAGTAAAGCTTTTGCAGGCTTTGGGGTGACAATTATCAGGCACAAATAAAGAACAGAGAGTGCACATGCATTTACACCCACATACGTAGGCTTTCGGGTGTCCATATTTGCAGGTTTCAAACTTTCCACACTGTGAGACAGGAGGATATATTGGCTGCTGATAGATGGTTAAAGGCTTTATTCCCTTGATTCTTACAAAAGTTTAGAGGCTAAACTGAAAATCAGACGACATACTGTTGGTACATTCTCTTTAAGCCAATGGTCCCATCAAATATATATTGTCTCTATTTTGGGGAAAGGGGGTGGGCAGGATTTGGCCACTAATGCTGATCTTGGATTTTGGAAGCAGAAAGGCTTGTGGGTGGGGGCTCTTGTCTATTCAGAACCTTTTGGGGGGAGGGGGAACCTGTGCCGACTCTGCCTTTGGACAGTTCTGCATCTGGACCTCAGAACATTTGCAAATAAATCAATTCCGCCGCGCTGCCTCCCACCCAAATGCAGCAGGTCTTCAGTGTTCCACAGGAAAGTGATGCTCCCTGCATCCAGGATGAGCCAAATGGTCAAACTTCTGAGGTCAGGCCAAAGATGCAGATGTGTGATATAAAGGCATCCCTGCCCTGGCATAACCTTTACTGCGACTGCCTGCCCTTACAACCTCAGCTTCCCGCAGCAGGTAGACATAGCTCTTGAGAATCCACATCCCTCACCCCTGAAGCTTTTTAAAAAGCACAATCTGTGCTCCCCACAAAACAATTACTCTGACATGTTGTAATGTAAAAGGATTTGTGAAGCTGAATTCCATTTCACATGTTGCATTTGGAATTCCACCGTCAGCGGTACTGGCTGGCTCTGAAGAATATCTGCCCCATCTGGAGAGTCCTTCTTTTTCCCCTTTCCTGGAAAAAGAAGGGAGAAATATGTACTGTTGCTTCTTTTAAGCCTCCTACCCACTGAGTGGGTGTACTTAAAACTGACCCCCTGAAGGACCTTTTCCCTTAACCCATGTAGCCTTTCAGGGTTTGTTGGTTTGTTTTCAACCAACTATTATTCATACCTCAAAGGGGCTGAACTGATGGGGGGAATGGGAAAGGAGGTCAGTCAGTGGTAGAGCAAATGTTTTGCAGCCTGCAGGTCTGAGAGCAACCCTGTCTCCAGTCAGTGTCCTGAGCTAGTTGGGCCTGTGGGTATGAGTCAACTTCCTATGTACCCAAGGAGGGACTACCCGTTCAGTAATTTTAAAATTCATAGCTCCAACAAGAGGTTTTGAGCTGAAGGAAAAAGCGAAGGTGCAGGTTATCAGATTGTTTGCAATTGACATTGGGAGTCATTAAAGATCCCAGAGACAGACTTCTTGGAGCTTTATCCCCTGAGCTAAACCACGCCCAGTCGTTAAGGTTTTGATTAATCTATAACTTTCAATGCCATCTCATATGTTTACATTAACATGGTCATTGCCACATACAGCCCCTGCTTACTGTTGGAACCAGCCTTCTCCCACTGGGTGTTCTCCAGCTCTTTTGCAGCACAACTCCCATCTGCTCCAGCCAGCACAGAGGTGCTGGGCAGAGTTATAGTCCAAAACAGGTAGAAGACACCAGGCAGTATTGATAAAGTGCCTCTGGTGGAGCTGAAGTGAAACACACCTGCAGCTATTTCTTCATCTTCCAGGTTTATTTTTTTACTGCCAAAATATTTTGTTGCTGTTTGGGGTGCATGTAGGCAGAATCCCTCATGCATGAATTGATACCACACTTCCCTGCCACATGACTTTATGAAAACAACATTTTCAAGTTCAGCAGTCATACCCAAACATCTGCAAACAAATTGTCTGCCTTTCACAAACCATTCAAGGAAATGTCTCTATATGAAAACATATTTCCTCTTCATTTCTCCCACCCAGGCACCTTGACCAACGGGTAAGTCAGAGTGTTTATCACAAAGTCAACTCTACTCTGGCTTAACAACTCTCCACATGATGCTGAAAGGAATTACCTGTCTCCCAGGTAAACATCATAATCCGCATCATGGAAAACTGGAAGCGACAAGCACCACCTTATATATTATGTTTACTTATATGGGCTAGTAACTCAATATTTGACACCAGTTGGAAGACAATGACAGCCATTTCCTGTAGTTGGAACAAATTGGGTGGTGCGCTCGGCTCCTTACAAGTGTTAAAATGAAGGGTTAAAATGTGCACTTACAGCACAATCCAACACAAAACAAAGTCCCATTGAATTCCTGGACCTCTTGCCCAGGGAAAGTGCAGACGCCTTTAGTGTGTGATGTAACAGACAGCAGAGTCTGTCTTACTGTAAGGGGACTGCAACTGATTCTGGGTGCAATTCAAATGGAAAATGGATCTGCCCATGTCTAACCAACAGGGGCACAAACTCCTCATAGATTTTCTCGCAGCCAGTCTTCCTTGTTATGGCCTGAGATCTCCAGGAAAGGTCAAATCACTTCCTCCACGTAAGACAGTCATACCAGTCCACTCTGACAAGGAGGGAGGGCCACAGCTCAGTGGCAGAGCACCTGCCTTGCGAGCCAAAGGTCACAGGTTCAGTCCCCACTGGCCTCTCCAGGGAGGGTTGGAAAAGACTCCTTGTCTAAAATCCTGGAGGGCTGCTGCCAGTCAGTGTAGACAATACTGGGGTAGATGGGCAAATGGTTCTGACTTGGCAGCTTCCTCTGTTCCGAAATAGTCTAACAGAATGACATAGAATCGTGACCTCTTGGTGATTTTCCATTATCCTTTAAAAAAGAACTAGTAGTTCCTGGTCCCCATAAGAGAAGCAGAATGCTTGCAAAAGTGCAGGTACAGGGAGAGATACCAGAGGATTCCAATGGGAATGGAAATGGGAGCGTAAATTTACTTGCCTAATCTTAGCTGCTTCGGTCGGTGTGGAAGTGGCACTGTTAAAAGTGCCATAGGCTACTCATTCAATAAGAAAACAGTATTTTGGTGTGGCAACAGCCTCACTTTGGAACTCCCTGCTTATTGGCCTCAGGCGTTTTTGTGTTGCTTAAAATATTTTTGCTTAGGGATGCCTTTCGAGATATACATATCATTTACCTTTTTATTGCTTTTAATTATCTTTTGAATGTTTTAAATACTGTTCTTTTACTGATGATTTTAATGTTTTGCTGTTATGTTTTGTAAGTGCTTAGAAATTTTATAAGCATTATAGAAATTTTGTTAAACAAAATTCACTTCCAATGTTTGCTTATTCGCCTCATGTCTGGAACACAAATCAATTGTGCAAATAGTCACTATTCTTGTGGCTTCCAGTCCACAAGGAGCACGTTGCTGATTACGTTGCTTCCTGCTCCCCATCTGTATTGTGTTTCCTTTGCACTGGAATTAATAGGGTAGAACAGCGTAATGACAATGCAATAATGTAATTTACATAATTAATTAGGTGAGCTATACAATTTCACCACAGCAGATGGAGAGACAAGTGGAATAGTTTTGGGCAGGAAACAAATGGTAGTGGACTGGAACCAGTGCTGTATGGGGTAGAATTGAAAACGATGTTTTCTTACATCCCTAGGCTATGTACCCGTTATACCTTTAAAGAATATTCAAAGCACATTCTTTCCCTGAAAGAATTATGGGCAATGAAGTTTACCCCAAGCGGAGCTACAGTTCCTGGTGACCCTTAACAAACTACCGTTTCCAGAAGGAAGGAAATGTCTTTCAAATGTACTTTAAATATATGGTGGGTACACAGCCCTGGTTACAGGCAGTTAGGTATGCAAAACACCACTGTTTTGCATAACTGTCATCTTAGTGAAGATTTTAACTTTGCAGTTTGCCCGGGCTTCATGCAGATTTCCAGCACCCAAAGACACCCAAAGTAACCATAATACGAAGGGGCTCTCCTGGGATTACCTTTGACAGGTGTGGTGGCCTTCTTTGTCGCTGCGGTCTCGGTAGCTGCAGCTTTGGCTTTTTTGTCCTTTTTAGCACCCTTTTTACTATCCTACAGAAAAGAAGTTTGTGCTTTTTAGGGAGGCTAGAAACACACGTGTGCAAAAAAAAAAAAAAAAAGGCAGTGCAGAAATGTCATACCGATTAAATACTTTGGAGCTACACCTTTCAAACCACACGTCTGTACTTTCAGTCTGATCAGCCAAGTTATTCTAAAAAGTGGGTATTTTCTTCCGTACAAGGTTATGACAGACTAAGAGTTCTTCCAGGAACAGTCTGTACAGCCAGATGGAGGCCTGACCTACGCGTTTGGAGACTCTGTGACACAACCTGAGGTCATTATCATTATTACATTTATTAATCATCTTCTAAACCATGGGTAGGCAAACTAAGGGCCGAATCCGGCCCAATCGTCTTCTCAATCCGGCCCGCGGACAGTCAGGGAATCAACGTGTTTTCACATGAGTAGGATGTGCCCTTTTATTTAAAATGCATCTCTGGGTTATTTGTGGGGCATAGGAATTTGTTCATTTCCCCCCCCCCAAAAAAAAGAGTCTGGCCCCCCACAAGGTCTGAGGGACAGTGGACCGGCCCCCTGCTGAAAAAGTTTGCTGACCCCTGTTCTAAAACACCATTCTCAAGGCAATATGCACATAACATTGCCCACAAGAAGCCCAGCTGATGAGCTGCCCCATATTTGTGGGTAGGTGGGATGACATCCCACACAGGTCAGCAGATAGCCCTTGCTCCATGCAGTAGGCCTCATGCCCCCAGGGGCCACACGAAGGGCCTTGTGACTCCTGAGCTCTCAGTTACTACAACCCTCTGGCTGCTTTTATCCTGACTTGGCTGTGGGGAGATTAGATGATGTTGGCGGCTGAATGAGCATTCTTCCTGGTTTGTTTGCAGGGAGGCTAGAGGACGTTGCATCAGGAAAATGTTACCCCTATACTTTCCAGTTTCACTTTCCACGTCGCTTTCCTTATTGCAGATAGTCTTCCTGGCCAAGGTGACTGAGTGGGAGCTCCCTCCAGGCACATCTGGAGCACGTGGACCATTTGGATCCCTTCCAACTGGTACTGAAACCCATCATGGGACTGAAACCACCTTGGCCATGTTGGTTGACGACACGGAAAGCTTTTTTCAGGATTTATGTTGGGATGGGGGCCAACCTAACCTCCCATTCTGACTCTAAGCACAGGCTTAACAGCCGTTTCTGTCCTGTTTCAGGCAATGTTGGTGACATAAATAGGAGCACCAAGGCCCAATTCTGCCCACGGGGGGCTTTCTCAGGAAAACAACCTTTCTGACCTGGTGGCTGCATTTAACACAGATTCAGTTGCCAAATACCTTTTCTTTCGGAGACGGGGGCTTACTAGTTGACTCCGTTATCAGAATGCCAAAGTCGCACACGGTCTCCACAAGAGGCTCTCCCGCCAGAAGGCTTTCCAGGTTGACATGGCCTGAGCCCAGGACCTTCACGATGGGAGGGTCACTTCGTAGCTCAGGAGAAGGAGACTTCTTTTTCTTCCCACCCTATGGGGATGTGGCAGCATATCAGATAAATTCATTCTGGGTTATTAATAATCTTATTCAAAGATTTTCAGAATATCCAGCTAACAACCACAGTAACAAACACTAACAATAAACACAACCGCTGTTGCAATAATGCACATTGTAAACTCAAGCAGGTCAATTTAAAGAGTCTACAAAAATTGCCGTGGGTCAGAGGAGGAGTTACAGTCAGCTAACTTTTTATTTATTTGAATATTTATAAATTAATTCCTTGTTTATTTGTGATTCACTGATACTGAATCCTAATTCCAGACGCTCCAGATGTCCATATTTTCCAGGGACAGTCCCGGATTTACAAAAGCCGTCCCGGTTTCTGATTTGATCCCAGAATGTCCCGCTTTCCCTTAGGATGTCCTTATTTTCATCAGAGAAATGTTGGAGGGTATGGAATTATACGATCCCAGAACCAAGGAGGTAAGTAACTATACAATATTTAGAAGACATCTAAAGTATAGGGAAGTTTCTTTAATGTTTGATGTTTTATTATGTTATTATATATGTTGGAAGCTGCCTGGAGTGGCAAGGGCAACCCAGTCAGATGAGTGGGATATTATTATTGTTGTTGTTGTTGTTGTTGTTGTTGTTGTTGTTGTTGAATAGGATGTCCCTATTTTTGGTAGAGAAATGTTAGAGGGCATGCAATTCCAAGACCACCATCTTAGAAATTTTATTATGTTTTAAACACTGCTATCCTGGCAGTTCTATTGCAAATGCAACATAAACTGCTAAATACATTAAAAAAATAAAAATATGGTAACTTATTATTGCTTTTGTTGTCGTCAATTGAGAACAGCAGAAAATCCAAAACCATCGCTGGCTCCGCTGTCGGGCAATGTGAGGCAGGCACTAAAGGCAGCTAATTACAGCTGTCACGAAAGGCAGAAAGTTTTTTAATTTATTACTGTTATTTTTGTTTTACCTGCCAGAGAAGGAAAGAGGCACTTCTGGGGTTTTCTGCCTTGGATGCCAAAATAACTTGGCAAGTTTTGGGTACTCTCTGGGGTGGGGGGGGGGAGACACCATCTGCTGCCTCACCTAAAGGATCCAAATGCTTCAGGCTAGCCCTACAAACAAATGCAAAACAGATTTCGCCAATCTAAAGCCTTCCAGATATTTTGGACTACAAGCAGCAAAAGCAGAGTCACCTTTTGGAAACATGTTCAAGTGACATCTAAAAATGGGAAGGGACAGAGTTTATCAGGCCTACACAGGAAGAGAATTTTGAAGGGCAGGCTTTTGCGTCCTAAAAATGAAGGCTGTGGGCAGCTAATTGTTTTCCTTGTGAGATCTTTTTCTGTTACCTCACAAAGTGGCCAAGCCAGACTTCCTGGCTGACCTTGGCCTATTGTGAAGAGCAGGGAGCTTGGACACACTTTGCATGAGTGCAATAAACAAACAAGGACCATTATTTATATTTAAGGTCATACCCCACCCCTCTTCCTCCCAAAGGAGCCCAGGGGACTGTGCCAGACTCCCTGGCTTTGCACGTTACAGCCAAACCAGGGGCTACGGTTTCATTCTACCAAACAAGTGGCCATGACCACCAGCCAACCTGAAGCCAGAGTATATTGCCAGCTTATGAATCGTGGCCTGTTAAGGAGCAACAAACCACTATCCCTTGTTTGGACATAACGGGAAGGCAAGGCTTCCCGCGTTGCTTAACCCAGTGGTTCTCAAACTTTTTATCTGGGCCATACTTTCAGATTAAAGGTTTGCTCGCACTACACCAATTTTTTTTTATTGATAAGAAATGCATCGGAAAATTAAAAAGAAACAACTCCTAGCAGTGCTTGATTGATATAACACAGAACACAACTACTTTGCAATATGATCATGGAACATCCAGAAAGTATTAAACAATGCAGCTACATATTCTACAAATAAAACAAAAATATTTTGATACTGCACCGCACCACGCTGAAATGTTAAAATGTTTCCTGGGTTGTCCTTGAATCTTCCCGCCACCCGTGCCATCCTCTCCTGCCACACCTTTTGAGAATAACCCCATTCCCCCCCCCCTAATTTTGTCTTTACATACATAAAATGCTTTATGCGTGTTTTGCAAACTGACATTTCTGTTTCAGGCATTGCTTAACTGCCCCCCGGTCTGGCTTCATACACTTTTGACTGGAGCAACAGTCGGGCACAACTCTCACCTCTCATTACCTTTCCAGCATCCTTTGCTTTCCCCTTCTCCTCTTTGCCTTTGTCCTTTTTCCCTTTCTCTGCCTTCTTCTCCTTCTCCTTCTCCTTCTCCTTCCCTTTCCCCTTTCCCTTCCCTTTCTCTGCCTTCCCCTTATCTTTGCCTTTTTTGGTTGGGCTTTCATTTGGGGTGAGAACGACCGGCCACGAGACAACCTGGTGAAGCAAGAGAGTTTATTAGGGCAACGAAAGGCCAGATTATTAGTGAACTTTCAAAACGCAAAAGCAAAGGGGCGTTTTCATGCCATTGTAGCATTTAATGTAACATTGTAACATTTCATATCACCCGCTAACATTTAAAAAGCCAAAATCCAGAATAGATATGTTAACGTGGATTTTTAGTATATTCCCATCTTGGCTGTGAGTCCAAAAAGACTTGCTCCCTGCCCTGCAAGCTTTTTTTCCCCTGGCCTGGGAGGGCAGGGTCTGGACTGACTCCAGCTACAAAAGCTGAGGCAGCTGCAGAGGTCAAAATCACTTCCCATGGGGCATCATGAAGCGATTAACAACATAATAACACATGTGAAAACAATTACATATACAAAAACTGTTAAGTTGTGGGCGAACATATCAGACGACACAGCGATTCTTCAAACAGCTCTTCTTTATTCTGAGGCCAGAACTGAACTGAGCTGAAGGGCTCAGTCAGCCTGCTTATATAGAGCTCCAGTACCTTGTTACTGTAACAACTTTCTAAAACTATCCAATCACCGAACGTCACTTCCGATCCTTCATTTGCATACAAACTATCCAATCACTGAATGTCACTTTCGATCCTTCATTTGCATAACTATCTACAGTATCCCCCTGCTGGCCCAGGGTGAGAACTTCAGTACATAAAAAAACCATTTAAACATGTAAATATAAAAGACAGTTTGAATATTTGCATATATATTTGCATCTATATCTGTACAGAATCTGCCTTGGAATACGTAACCTTTTCCTCCACAACTGTCACCGTGGTTCCGGCGAGAAGATAGGCCTTCAGAGCGACCATATCTCTGGTGACATGCTCCTTTGTGTGGTCACAGTCTATGACCTCAGCCCAGGGCTTTCGAGGGGTGGAATAAACATTTCCTAAGGGGGAGAAACGAAGGGCTTTTGAGGAAAGCACATCTTCAGAACAGGACACCTCAAAGGTCAGGTCACATTCCCTCATGTGCCACCTTTGAGGGGCCGGGGGGGCGGGCAGATACCAGGGGCAAAATACAGGCAGAGCAATGGATTCTTCCCTTACTGTTGAATGGAAGCATACAGTCTAGCAATGCAAATTTCTGGTTTTTGCAGACACCCGCCCAATGTACCCCCTAGCCCTTCATCCAGGCATGCAAAAGGCATTATCACATTTCCAAGGACACATTCCAGCCAGGCAAAAGCATCTGAGAAGAATACAGAGAATCTCTCTGGTGGGCTTCGAACCCCAGAGGCCCACCCCTGCCCTGCCCCACTGCTTATAACATGACTGGGGTTTTGCATCAAACCAGACAGGGAGATTTAAAAGCAACCCCTTCTTGCCTCAACATCTGAGTTGCAATTCAGCATGTTAAACAGGAAGGCCAAAACTCTTGTGCTAGATCAGGTGACAGTTCAGGATAAGAATGTCCTTTGTTAATAATCAACCAGCATGCTCTGCTAACAGGTCCCTCAGTGTCCCGAGAGATAAAGCAGTAGCAACACTATTTAAGAAGTGGATAGCTGATTTCTTACTAGGCCAATAATCATTCCCAAATTTGGTTGGAGATAATCACCTTCAGGTAACAGAAAATCAAGGACAGCAATGATTCTCTTTAACTGGGCCAAAGATGTGGTTCAGTTAAAGAGAACAGCCTGCATACTTTGCAATCACACCAAGTTTTCATTAAGCAGAATTAATATCTCTGTGCTGTTTCCCTGCAAAGAAGGGGCCCAAGCAAAGAGAAAAAGGCTTTATTGATTTAAACCAACTTCCAACAACTTGGTGTCCTGGACTACAATGTCCATTATCCATGACTGATTTAATTGCAGTTATTGTAGGTGTAACAATAACAGATTTGACAGAAAAGGAGAGGTGGGGGCATGAAGTGGGATCGCACTTGTGCTTTGTCTTGTCCCTTAGCACAGGGGTGCAGGAACTTACAGTCCTCCAGGTGTGGTTGGACTCCAGCTCCCATCATCTCCAGTCAGTATGGCAAACCGTCAGGGATAATGGAACATGTAGTCCGTCAACATCTATAGGGCCACAGGTTTCCCCCTCCTTTCCATAGCAGGTGAAGAAAACCTGGACTTAATTTGAAGGGACTGGCATATGTGTAGTTGCATTTATGGTGCATTTAAACCTGGTGACATTTTAAAGGCTGCCCGTTACTCATCCACAGACTTTGGGAAAGAGCTTGGAAACAAAGGTGGCTGCGTAACAACTTTCTGCCATTGAAGAGTCATGCTCCACTTTGCAATCATGACTTCTGAAACTAGGAAGCCAAGCAACTTCCTAGTAGAAGCCTAGCAAAGGATTTTAATAGGCATTCTTTAGAAACTATAGCTAAATATCAGCAGCTAGATAGCTCAAATCTACTACAGTCTTGCAAAGTGCACTCATAGCACATTAGAGCTGAGCTATTTAATAATTACCCTGGTTAATTTCTGCATGAGTTTTAAAGCTTGCAGAAGCCCTCAGCTGTGCCCAAAGGCTTGGCTAAGCTCAGCTAGAAGGCTCAGCTAAGCACATGAGGAACTCCCTGCAGCTAGGATTCTTGGAGTTATCTGTGTGGGGCTGGTAACGCATGCAGAATGCAAGTTCACTTGTGGTCCAATTTACTCCATCAGGCCCTGTGGAGCTACTCACCAGGCTCAGTAGGAGATTTGATTGAAGAGTCCACAGGTGTGGGCTCGTTGCTTCCCCCTCCTTCCACTCCTCCTTGTGCATTTACAACATTCAATGTAGTTGATACCGGTTCTGCTAAGACACACTGCCATTATAATATATAAGAAGAATCACGTGAAAATTTCATAGCTGGGAAATATGCAGACACCAAGAACAGCTGCATTCCATGGATCAAAATAAGGGGGGGGGGGAATGAAGGCATAGGTGGCACTGAAGCTGCCTTCCCCAAACTGGTCCCCTCCAGATTTTTTCTTACTACAAATCCCATCAGCCTCAACTGGCACACTTGATGGGAGTTGTAGTCTGAAAGATCTGGACAGCAGAAGTTTGGGGAAGGCTGTCCTAATGCATACTGTTGAATAAAACAAGTTATTTACAACCCATCAACCAGTTACAGAATAAAGAATACATAATATTAAAAGGTAGAGATATTTGTAAGCAAAATAAAAATTGTCTAAGCAAAATTGCTACATTTAGGAGCTTTGAAACTTCTCTTTAGTTTAAAAATTGGAGTTCTCCCAAAAGATTATCAACAGAAACTCTGATCAACCTGGAAAAGACTGCATAATGGTGTATATCAGAGTTTCTCTGGCCCCCTGAAAAACTGCATTTACAAGTGACTCTGCTTCTGTGCTATAAGGGAAGCATCTACTATTGATGGGAAGCTTGTTGTGGGCAACTATTGCAGGGGGAATAGAGTGGAATATCCTGAAAAGGGGCTTGTCTGGCTGGTGGAATCCTGAACATAAAAAATCAACATTGCAATGTTTATTGCAGCTGACACTTGTATTCTGCTATCTTTGCCATTCAGCTTTAAAGGGTAAAGGTAAAGGACCCTGACAGTTAAGTCCAGTCGCAGACGACTCTGGGGTTGCAGCGCTCATCTCGCTTTACAGGCCGAGGGAGCCGGCGTTTGTCCGCAGACAGTTTTTCCAGGTCACGTGGCCAGCAAGACTAAGCCGCTTCTGGCAAAACCAGTGCAGCGCCCGGAAACACCATTTACCTTCCTGCCGGAACGCTACCTATTTATCTACTTGCACTTTTTGGCGTGCTTTCGAACTGCTAGGTTGGCAGGAGCTGGGAAAGAGCAATGGGAGCTCACCCCGTCGCAGGGATTCAAACCGACAACCTTCTGATCGGCAAGCCCAAGAGGCTCAGTGGTTTAGGCCACAGCACCACCCGCGTCCCTGCCATTCAGCTTTAAAGAGGGCAAAAAGCATTATTATCATTTTCTGCGGTGTCTCCTCCTGGTACGATGGAATTGCCTCCTCCTTTGCATTACTGAAATGCATCCATCCCAAATTCCACTTCATTTCGCAGTTGATGGTTCTGCACAACAGCTGCAAGCAAGGTTCAGTCCTCACTGGACTGTTGTGCCCTTATGGAAATACTCCCATGTGTAGGACTTAAGCTCTATAGGGTAAGGCTTGTTCACACTACCAAAGGTATACTATAGTAACTGTCATGGCTTCCTCCACATTGGGAACTGTAGCTTGTGCCTTCATTTCATATCTTTAGGCGCCAGGCCTTTGGCTAATTAAAAAATCTATAGCCTTTTAAGCTGTGTATATGTCTTAGGGGGTATTGTTTTCGTTTGTTATCATGCTATGCAATTTTGTGTTTTTACATTGTAAAGCACCCTATGATCATTGGCTGAAGGGTAATTTTTTTTAATTAAGAATTGTTTTAATAATAATAATAATAGTTCCCTATCTCCCTTTGCAGAACTACATTTTCCAGGGCTCCCTGGAGAAAGCGCAGAACTGTTGAAACCAGTTTAATCAGTGACATACATACAACCCCATTTCAAGAATGTCTACCTTGTCTGTTTCTTTCTCCTCAATTTTCTCATCTTTGGCAAATTCATACGTCACGTAGTAATTGTAGGTGATTATTGGAGCCTCGGGTCCAGTCTCCGGTTCCTCTGGGCCAAGAGGATTAGGGACACCCCTGACTTTGCCAACGACCACGACCATTTTAGTGTAGCACTTTAAGAGCTCTGCGAAAGCAGGAGACAAAACATCGAACGGCAACATCCGTTTGAATGCAGAATCACAGGATAGACAGACATACGCAGGCAGGATGTAACATCTGCCCCCAAACAGCTTAGCAAAGCAGGACTGGTCAAGCCGTGGGGGCAAAGGAAGGTGCGCTGTTTCAGCTGTGCAAAGGTCTCATGGGGTTGGGGGTAGAGGAGAGCACTAAATTGTGGGTGGGTACAAGTGGGAGCTGCAACAAAATGCTGCAGTGTAGAATGCTCCTGCTCAGGGTTCAGCCACACCTTCTCCCAGGACACTCCATTCCATTACATTTCCTCTGGCTTTCCATGTTTTCACCCAACAATCTGTGTATTCACAGAATGTTTAGCATTCGCACGGGTGTTTGGGGGTTACAACAGAGGCAATCCAGCACAGCACCTCAAAACACAGGATTGCAACCTTGCACGATATCAGAGCCCCAAAACCCACATTTTTGGACTCCATGATATCACACAAGGTGGCAGTCCTGAATGTTTTGCACCAAAATGTGCGTTTTGAGACTCTGTGATCTCACGGCGGGGGAGGAAGGGGAGTCTAAGATAAAAATGATGGAGGGTATTATCCAAGCACAGCATTTTAACTTCCTCTAGCTTTGCTTCAGCATGAATCCTAGTCTATTTCAGAAGAGGTCTAAAAGTCTACACCACCAGGGGTCACCCAAGGGCCATAATATTACAAGGTCTGGGGAGAAACTGAATATTGAGGCTCCAGAAAAACATACACAGGCTTGGGTTCAAGTGTCCAGCTGCACTGCAAAGCTAGGTTTGGCATTCTGAGTATGAGTCAGTTCTTTTACTTGCCCCGACTATCACACATTGGATATTTTGGCTGCTGGAACTAAGATAGCCCTGCCTGGCCACTTGTCAGGGATGTGGAAATTCCATAGATGGACTGCTCTTTGACTAAGGAAGTCTCACCCGGATTGCTAGACAGCTCTAAGAAGTCGTGTCTCTCGTCAGGTGTGATGATCACATCGTCAAGCGTGCAGAGTTTTGGCAGGCTATCGATGACAAACCCCCTGTAGCCAGGCAGCAGGGCGAGTGGGTTTCCCTGAAGCACCAGAACCCGCAGTTTCTTCATCGTCAAAAGCTTCAAGAGGAGGCTCAGCAAGTTGGTGAAATTGTTGTAGCTCAAGTCGAGGGAGACGAGTTTTGGCCTAAAGAAAAATAAGGGAAGGGAATGGGTCTTTGGTGAGAGCTAATGGGAACAGGGGCAGGTGACATGGATGTTGCTGGCTGGGCCTGGTGGGAGTTGGAGTCCTACAGAATCTGGGGAGGACCACATTGGGCACCTCGAGATTAAAGGAAGCGCGCACACATGAACATAGTGCCCCACATTCCCTGTGTGTCCCACCTGGCAACAAGCGAACCCATCAGTTTTAGTCTCTCCATTTCTCGTTTTTCCAACCTTAAATTCAGTTCTCCCCATTTCAATATCAGTTTGCAATTGGGAAAAAAAATCAATATTTTTTTCATAATACAGTATGATTGTATCTTTAACATATTTTAACTGGCACGATCTCTGTCCAGAACCTGTCCCATTAAACTTTAATTAGCTTAATGCTAATCAAATGTCCAGTGCGCTTCCGATGCGACAACGTCCCATTACAGCAGAGCATTTCGCACAACGGCTCAAGAAGGGCTGGAGAGTCAGCATCTTTTCAATAAAGGGATCTTGGAGCAAGCGGTTTGGAACTCAAATAAAAGGTTTATTTACACAAAACAAAAACCCTGGTGAAGAACCACACATTTCAGCAAACACGCCCCCAAAATAAAGGGAAGGGGGGGCAAACACACGAGTGAGCTGACTATTTATACAAACTCGCATTCCTGGAAGCTTAACGACCTCCAGCTGCTCAGTGAATAGAGCGTCTTGATTAGAGCTTCTTAACCCTTTAATACCAACACCCCCTCGCTCGTAACACTGAGCTGTACCAACCTTAATTCAAATTTAAACCTGAACAGAAACATTTATGAGATTGCGGACTCAAAGCTTTTGTAAAACCGTCTGCGAGATTTTCTTGGCTTGGACAATACTTTAGTTCAATTAAACCTTGTTTTACACTTTGGCATACATTTTGATAACGGATATCCAAGTGTTTTGTGTGTGCCTTGAATTGACCTGATTTAGCTAGTTTAATACAAGGTTGATTGTCTTCCCACACTCTGATAGGTAGGGAACATTCTCCAAACAATTCTTGTACCAGTTGCTTATAAAATTCCAGTTCTCTACATACATCTGATAATGCATTGAACTCAGATTCAGTTGAACTTAAAGCTATAAGTGATTGTTTTCTTGATCTCCAACCAATTAGTGCATTTCCAAATTTTATCGCCATTCCTGACACTGATTTTCTATCTGGTCCAGCATCTGCCCAACTGCTGTCGGCCCAACATTCAAGTTGTGTGCTGCCCTCTGCTGATAGTTTTAAGCGAAACCTTTTGGTAGTTTGGAGATACCTTAAAACTCTTTTTACTCCTTGCCAAGCATGCATTGATGGTTTTTCAGCTTGTCTACACAGCATGTTGACAGCATATGTTATATCGGGCCGAGTCCACTGTGCAATGTGGAGTAGACTGCCTATCGCTGACTGGTAACCCCGGGATTACAGAACTCTGCCTGTTGCTCAGTTTGAGCATCCTTTGTGTAACTTAACTCCATTGGGGTTTTAACACCAGCACAGTTGTCCATTTTAAACCTTTCCAGCAACTGCTGGATCTTAGCTTCTTGGCTGAGCCAATAGTTCCCATCTTCATCTTGCTGAATTTTAACTCCTAGATAAACAGATACATTGCCTAGTGATTTTATCTGAAACTTTTCTCCAAGCTTTGTGGCAAATTGTTGTGCAAGTTTATCGTCCTTTCCACTGTATAATAAATCGTCAACAAATATCAAGACTGCTTCTTGTTCACATCCCGAGCCTTTTAGATAAAGACACGCATCTGCTGCGCTCTTTCTGAACCCCATGCTCTCTAGAGCATCGTTTAAGCAGGAATTCCAATTACGGGCGGACTGTTTCAACCCATAAATGGATTTGTGTAGGCGCCAGACCTGGTTTGGCTTGTCTCCTTCAAAACCTGGTGGTGGCGTCATATAGACTTCCTCCTGTAAGTCTGCATTTAAATAAGCCACATTGACATCAAAATGAAACAGCTTATTTCCCTTCTTAGCTGAAGAGGCTAAAAGCATTCTTAATGACTCCGATCTTGAAGTAGGGGCATAGATTTGAGAATAGTGAACTCCTTTGCGCTGCGAAAACCCTTTTGCAACTAGTCGGGCTTTATATTGCAACTCCTCAGTAGTTGTGGGCTTTAAACGATATACCCATCGACAACCTACAGCTTGTTGCCCTTTCGGAAGCTCTGTACTTGTAAACACACCAAGAGACTTCATTGAAGCCATCTCTTTTCCATTGCTTCCTGCCATTTTACGGCTTCTGAGCTTGGAAGCTGTTGTACCTCTATATAGCTATCTGGCTCACACTGTGCCATATTTACGTATACACTTGTCACCTTAAACCGCTCTGGCGGCTTGCCCTTTGTGGCACGTTTTGACCTGCGCAATTGTTCCTCTTGTGCCCCCTCTGACTGTTGGCTGTCAGAATCTGTCTCAGACTTTATGTCTGGACGTGCCTCTAGGGATAAAGACCTCCGTTTAGATACCTCCCTTGGGCTTGGTGTTGCAGGCGACCTGCTTCGCTTTTGCTGTCTGCTAGGCCTACTGACTGGCGATGTTGGAACACTCTTAGATTCTGGCTTTTCTACCTTAGGAGAAGAACCTTGTGCCTGGTCAGAATCTGCATCTGAACCATGTGCACCGTCCCCTTCTGGCTCATCACCCTCTGGACTTTCTTTCTCAGCATAAATGCCTAAATCATCTCTCAAAATGTCAGGGTTAGCATGTAAGTGAGTCCATCCAGATTGCTCACAAAATTCAGCGCTCCTACTGAGGACCACTCTTGTAGTATCCCCATCTGGGTTCACGAACCTCCAAGATTTGGCGTGTGGTTCGTACCCACAAAGATGAGTTTCCTAGCCCTTGGACTTCCCTTTTTCCTTAACGCTTTTGGGATAAGTACATAGGCTTGAGATCCAAACACCCGAAAGTAATTAACTTTGGGCTTCTTCCCATATAAAGCAAAATATGGCGTAGTATCAATTACCGAATTATATACTCGGTTCAGAACATGAGTAGCCGTCTGCCAGGCTTCCGCCCAGTAACTTTGAGGAAGTTTAGCATCAAACAACATAGAGTTTGCCAACTCTTGCAGAACCCTGTTTTTACGTTCGGCCACACCTCCTTCTTGGGGGGAATAAGGTGTAGACAGACGATGCTTAATTCCTTTTTCTTAAAGAAATTCTGCAACACAGACCCGGTAAATTCTGACCCTCTGTCTGTCTGAAAAGCAAGAACTCTAGTACCAAATTCAAGTTCTACTGCATGAACCCAATTTTTAACTGTTTCTGCAGTATCTGCTTTTGTTTTGAGAGGAAAAAACCATGTAACCTTTGTTTTGTCATCTGAGAGACACAGTGCATACCTCGAACCTCCCATGCTAGCAACAGGCATTGGGCCACACAGGTCCATATGCACAAGTTGGAATACTTTGTCAGATTTCCTATTTGAACTGGGATAGCTGCATCTATGAACCTTCGCCCTTTTGCATGCAGTACAATCCAAATACTTAGTACATTTGTTCAATTTGCACCCTTCTGATAACTCAGGTTGCCTTTTAACATACTGAAAATTAATATGTCCCAAACGGCGGTGCCATAAATGAACACAAGAATTATGGGTAGGCGAGTTCACACAACCAGCATGAACCTGTTCAACTTCATCTGGACTTGTCTCAAAATAATATAACCCATCTCTGCATTCCACCTGCAAAAGAGATGCGTTATTCTTTGAAATAGTGCAAACCCCATTTTCAAACACAGTTTTAAACCCATTTCTATCAAGTTCTGACACAGACAAAATACACCCCTTCATTCCCTTTAGCACGTAGGCATCAATTTCTGTTTGCAAACACTTCAAAAACACTGTGCCTACGGTCTCTAAGGAACGTTTAGTTGAATCTGCCATTGTCACAACTTTAAGGGTTTGCAAATGTCTGCAATTCTGCAAACGGACACTAGATGGCGCCACCAGGTGGTGAGATGCACCACTGTCGATCAACCAGCGTAGATTGCTGCCTTGGCCACGCCCTTGCATCAACGCCATTGCTGAAGCCATGTGCTGTGTGCTGTGGGAGTAGCCACGACCTCCTCCTCTTCTTCGACGTCCCCTGGAACTCCTTGTCTGGTAACTAGGGGTAACGGCCTTGGTGCTGTCTTGACCAGGTTCACGTGTACAATTCCTGATTAAATGGGAAGAGGAACCACAGCGAAAACAGTGTCTAGCTGCAAAAGCATTTACTGTGTGGTCAAACTCAGCATCCCCACTCTTAGGCACAGCATAACTCCCCTTTGAAGACAAACCTCTTTCTCTTTGCCTTTTATCCTGTTCATCTGCAAGTCGAGAAGAAATGTATTCAAGGGTTAATTCAGTTGAAGGCATAGCTTCCAAAGTTAAAGCTAGAGTCTCATAGCTTTTATCAAGAGAAGACAACAAAATGTATGACTGCTGCTCCATAGAGAAAGGAATGCCCAGCTGTCTTAGTTGATTAAAGGCAGACACCATTTTGGCAATATGTTCTTTCACACACGCTCCCGGTTGGAGACGTAAATCAAACAAACATCTTGTAGCATGGATCTTGGCCCCCGCAGTGTTTCTGGAATTGAGCCGCTGCAGAACCGTCCAGACCTCATGCGTGTTCTTTAACTCAGAAACATAAGGCATTTGCTCTGGTCCCACTGCCAAAACTAGTAGACCTTGGGCTTTCCTGTCGCGTTTCTGTGAAGCTGCCGCTGCTGCTTTGTCTTCTGCAGACGCGTCTGCAGCTGCCTGTAAAGGCGGTGCTTCAGTACAACTCCACAACTCTTTTGCTTGCAACCAAACCCTTACTCTAGCCTTCCAATCTTGCCAATTTTTCCCATTGAGTCGCGTAAATGGGACAGTAAAACTTTCCTGGGACTCTGCCATCCTCCCTGGGGCTTAGGAACGATACTCACAGACCTGTAGACCGTCTCCCAGCTGCTGAGGTGGCTCCTCGAGGAATAAGACGTCTTCCAGCGAGTACAAACTGCGCAGTGCCTCTTTAAAACTTTTCCTAGGCACGTTGCAGGACTCAAGCTGCTTTGAAGGCTTTCGTTGTCGGCAACCGCTTCTGTCTTCGCTCCAGTCCTTTCATAAATCACTCTGAACTGCACTCCTTATCTCCTTCTTGACGTACAAACACCATAACCTGTCCAGAACCTGTCCCATTAAACTTTAATTAGCTTAATGCTAATCAAATGTCCAGTGCGCTTCCGATGCGACAACGTCCCATTACAGCAGAGCATTTCGCACAACGGCTCAAGAAGGGCTGGAGAGTCAGCATCTTTTCAATAAAGGGATCTTGGAGCAAGCGGTTTGGAACTCAAATAAAGGTTTATTTACACAAAACAAAAACCCTGGTGAAGAACCACACATTTCAGCAAACACGCCCCCAAAATAAAGGGAAGGGGGGGCAAACACACGAGTGAGCTGACTATTTATACAAACTCGCATTCCTGGAAGCTTAACGACCTCCAGCTGCTCAGTGAATAGAGCGTCTTGATTAGAGCTTCTTAACCCTTTAATACCAACAATCTCAACCATATGCGATTGAAGGCAGGCTGGTTGAAAGGGCACAGGTTAAACCCAAGCATGGCAGGGAGCTTTTGTGTGCTCATGCAAGATCTAGCAGGACAATCCAAGTTTCTGCAAGATCTCTCACAAGCACCCCATGGCTTCCAGAGCTGGAAGGTCTGGTTGGGGTTACCCAGTATGGAAAATGCTTTTATGCTCTCCGCCTTCATCACTGAGCATGGCCTACACTCAGTGCAACAGGCTCTGGGGGTGCTAGCCATGGAGTGGTACAAAGAGTTTGGATATACGAAATTTTCATGAGTACTGAACCCCTGCACAAGATGCGATAGAACTGTACATACGTTTGCATGCAATTTTATCTAATACACACATTTATGCAAGGCAATTTCCCCTAAAACAATGCATGTACAGTCATACCTTGGAAGTCAAATGGAATCCATTCCGGAAGTCCGATTGACTTCTAAAACGTTAGAAAACCAAAGCGCGGCTTCTGATTGGCTGCAGGAAGTTCCTGCAGCCAAACGGAAGCTGCAGGAGCCCCATCAGACATTCGGCTTCCAAAAATCGTTCAGAAACCAGAACACTTACTTCCGGTTTTCGATCATTTGGGAGCCGATCTGTTTGGGAGCCAAGGTGTTAGAGATCCAGGGTATGACTGTAAATGCTATTTTCAACTAATGCGTGCATGTACACTTTAGGCTGGGAAGCGGGTGGCGCTGTGGTCTAAACCACAGAGCCTAGGACTTGCCGATCAGAAGGTCGGTGGATCAAATCCCCGCGACAGGGTGAGCTCCAGTTGCTCGGTCCCTGCTCATGCCAACCTAGCAGTTCGAAAGCACATCAAAAGTGCAAGTAGATAAATAGGTACCACTCCGGCGGGAAGGTAAACGGCGTTTCCATGCGCTGCTCTGGTTCGCCAGAAGCGGCTTAGTTATGCTGATCACATGACCCGGAAGCTGTACGCCGGCTCCCTTGGCCTATAGAGTGAGGCGAGCGCCACAACCCCAGAGTTGTCCGTGACTGGACCTAACAGTCAGGGGTCCCTTTACCTTTACACTTTAGGCTAGTCTATGCATTTAATAAAAACAACATTATTTGGTTGGGAAACAGCATTCGAAAAGTGCAAATTTCAAAGAGTAACCGTGTCTTGCTTGGTGTCTTGTTTCATAACGTGGGAATTAGGCGAGTTCACTTTTAACTGAGAACTAAATCTAATTCCTTCCTCCTTCTCAGCCACACCTGATTGTGACCAAGAATGTGAGGAAGGCCCTTCCCCATCTGCACCTCAAGGGAGACTGAACTTAGTGGCAGAAGATGGGGTGGGAGATTAGTGTGTTTCCCACACTCTTAACATATTCCTGCCTAAGGATGGAAAGAACTGTCACTTTCAGTTCTTCCAGTTTCTCATTTCTCCAATCCTAAATTCAGTTTCCCACAATTTGCAGCAATCAGCCAAAAAAACAACAACTTTTAAAAAGATCCTCATAAAAATTAACCAGCATTTTAGCGTAAATTTCTCATGATAAACACATCTTTATAAGCAATTTTGACTAATGTACACATTTTTGCAAGCAATTTCCCCCAAAATAATGATTTTGGTATGTATTTTCCTACTAACACCATCATTTTTATGCATTTTCAACCAATATATACATTTTTATAAACATTTGGTCCATCACAACATTTGGATAAGTGCAAATTTCAAAGGATGGCTGTCTTTTAGTTTGCATATTGTTTCAGAAAGTGCAATTTTTTTATAGATTTCGCTCAGTGGTTCTCAAAGGGTGTGGTGAGTCACACTGGTGTGATCAGAGAGTATAGCAAGGGTGGTGAGAAGAGTCAAGATCAAAGAAACATTCAAACATTTCAGTGTAGTATAGTATATAAAAATAATAATAATTTGCAGAATATGGATAGATATATTTGCAAAATGAGAACACGAACATCAAGTGATACAGAGGAAAATCCTAGCTGTGATCCAGAATCACTGTTTGAACAGAGTGCTGGAGAAGACTTGTTTACAATTATATTCTGGGAATGATTTATGTTCTTATGCAGCTGCATTTTTGAATACTTTCTGTATCTCCCATGATCATATTATGAAATAGTTGTGTTCTGTGTTTTAAATCAAGCTCTGCTGGTTGTTCCTTTTTGTTTTCCAATGTATTTTTTATCTATGAAAAATTTGGTGTGGCATGAAAAAAATTTTTTTTCTGAAAACCAGACCCAGAGAAAAAAGTTTGAGAACCACTGTTTTAGCTTCAAATGCGCACTGAACTAAATTTCTCCTCCATTCCTCTTCCTGCCTGCTTAAAAGTTTCCCATTACCAGTAAGTGTCTGTGAGATACTGTTCTTCGGATGAACCGAGCTGGCAGTTGTGGCCGAGGCCCAGATGCTGGAGTTCAGGAGGCGGGTGAGCACACAAGTCCTTCAGACCATCCACTTCGTTGCCACAAAGTTCTAGGACCTGCCAGGTGGAAGGCAGAGGGAGAGGAAGGAAATAACCTTCGGGTAACAAAGAGGGCGAGAGTGCTGGGTACACATCCAAATCGTTTAATGGAACTCCTCAGATAGAAGGAGAAAGAATAGGAATTTTGCCTCCAGGGAAAGCACAACACGAACTTTCTGCTTCTTTCTTTCACACAGAGAAGCTTCCAGAATCTTCCAGAACCATCTTGAATTTATGAGAAAAGGAAAGATCTCTACACATCCAATCAATACTTTCTGTACCAAGATATGCAATCTGACTCCTTCTGACCCAGAAAGAGCCCTGAGGCTGGATAAGACCAAAGGCCTATGTATTCCAGCAGCCTGTTTCTCACAGGGGCCAATCCTGTGTTCCAGTGGGAAGCTCAGCAGCCCACCCCTCAGCCGGTCCTCCCACCGACTAGCTGACATTCTCAGCTCCATGTATCTTCCATTCCACTAACTTCTCCCACGTCTCCCACCCTTATCTACCTTCCCTCCCACCTGCAGGTACCTTTAGGGTTGGAGGGAGGTTGCTGGAGTTGATCTTGCTGATGTGATTTGCACTCAGGATTAGCTCTTCCAGGTTTGGGAACTTTAACAAATCAGCATCAATTTCAGTCACCTAGGAAGAGAGCAAAACACAAACAATGCTCATGCTCAGGGAGTCAAGGGTCTCTCAGAGGTCATCCAGCCCATCCCTCTTGTTGCAAAACACAGCTGCTGCCTCCAGCAGTCCAAGTTCCACAATCCTGACTAAACTGTGAGTGGTCACAAGCAGGAAACAAGTGATCCATTGTAAAGATCTAGCACAGTAAATGCAGCCAGGTGACTTAAGAAAAGCAAACAACAATCACACTCTATTTCTTGTTTTAAAATTGTCAGAACTGCGTAAAACTTGCACTCAAAAACGCAGTGCCATGGCAATCCAAATACAGAAGGCAGTTACATCCCACCTGAGAACTCTGCAGTCAGAAAGGAGCAGTCGATGCACTTAGATCATAGAGTTGGAAGGGACCCTGAGGAACATCTAGTCCAACCCCTACAATGAAGGCAGACACAGCTGTCCCATTCAGGGATCAAACTTGTGACCTTGGTGTTGTCAGCACCACGCTCTAACCAACTGAGCTGTCCACAGAAGGGGAGCACTCAAGCTCTGAGTCAAAGTGGCACAAACAAGGCATTGGCATCAGAGCGGAATATAAGCACTAGGCTGTTCCTTGGGCTACAGGGCATCCTTCAACATGGCTTGGGTGCTACCCACACAGAACTATGCAAGCCCTGAAAATCAGCTGATCCCTGAGGCTTGTTTAGGGCCACACATTGACCTATGCAAGTGCCAACAATTAGATGACTGTCAACACCTGCACAGCTCTGCAAAAAGAAAACCCCACTCCCTCCATCATCAGCTGACTGTTGGCACTTGCAAAGCAACAGACACAAGGCTTTGTAGGTGCTGCCCCCACAGGTAAGTGGGCTTAGCTTGGCCACAATGGCCTTACAGGTCAAATGGGGAGGGCTGGTGGGCCCCACTTGACCTGGGAGGGGAGCCGAGGTTCCCTAATCCTTGCGCTGTGGTCTTAACCACCCAAGAGTCTTGGCCACCCACATTTTTGTTCACAATCCTGAGCGATTTGAAGTAAGAGAAGATTAAGCTGTCCTGGATGTCCCTTGGAGCCTGCACAGCCAGCTCCCTCAGCTGCTGGTCCTCAGGGCTGCAGTCAGCAGGCAGGGCCCACGGAGAGCCCAGGCTTCTCAGGTAGTCGGTGAGCGATTCCACACTTTCCTCCTCTGGCGGCAGGAACCCATCGCGAGGGGAAGCTCTGGCCTTTGGCAAGGCCCATCTGGGGGAAACTGTGGCCTTCCTTGGTGGGAAACGGGACTTATTCTGCAGAGGACACAAAGGAGGGATGTATAAGCTTCTGCTGGGGCCACTGCAGAGAAGGAGACAAGACACCCACAGGCTGAGAGTCTACGGGAGCTGCTCCCCATCTATTGCTCCCGATGGACGACCTGATAACGGAGGAGGGTCTTGGCAGACCACTTAAAACATCTTCCCACCTGCTGTAGCAATTGGACTGAGCATGATTTTTAATTTTGTGTGTGTGGATATCTATATGTTGAGGGATGTGGGTGGCGCTGTGGGTTAAATCACAGAGCCTAGGACTTGCCAATCGGAAGGTTGGTGGTTCGAATCCCTGTGATGGGGTGAGCTCCCGTTGCTCGGTCCCTGCCCCTGCCAACCTAGCAGTTCGAAAGCACGTCAAAGTGCAAGTAGATAAATAGGTACCGCTCCGGCGGGAAGGTAAATGGCGTTTCCGTGCACTGCTCTGGTTTGCCAGAAGCGGCTTAGTCATGCTGGCCACATGACCCAGAAGCTGTACACCGGCTCCCTCGGCCAATAAGGCAAGATGAGCGCCGCAACCCCAGAGTCGGCTACAACTGGACCTAATGATTCTTTACCTTTTATATCTATATGTGTGTGTGTGTGTCTGTGTGTAGACACACACAAACACACAAAAATGTGTATGTGTGTATTGCTTATGTTATTTCTTATATTGTATTTCATTGTACTGAAATTTGCATTCCCCCCGCAATACACTCTGCCCGCCATTGGCACCCCGCACTTCGGCCAGCCCTGCGTGGAAGTGCCATGGGGCAGCTAGCTGTTTGCTGGGCGGGAGGGGCAGAGAGCACGAGGATCCCCTCCCCTTGCTCCCCCTCCCCCAGCCCCCAATCTCCCGTCGCCCTCCTCGCCTCCCCCCAGCTCACCCAGCTCCCGATCCCGCAGGGAAACTGGTCCAGGCACAGCCGGCGGAGGTGCTCCCAGAAGGCGGCGGAGGCGGCGCCGGGACCCGCCATGGCCGAGCATCCCTCTCCGGCGTCCCCCGTTGCCAGGCGACGGGCTGGGTTGCCGCGCAACGCCGAGGCTCCCTGGGCTTGCTTCCGGGTGGAGGCGCCGAGGGCTGCGCTGCGCGGGATCCTTGCCTGGAATCACTTCTTTGTAGACGCTGCAAGCAACGGGTGCCTCGCGCACTTCTCCGGGCGCGCAAGATGCGCCGCACGTTTGGAATGTTGCTTTATTGGGTGTTTAAATGTTGCAAAGCTGCCCTGGGAATTTTGCTGACAGGCTGGGTAGGAATCCCTCGGATGTAAATACACGCAACGCCCTCTCGAGAATCTGCTTCGGTTTTCCAAAGCAGTCCGGAGTTTCCAGATTAGTCCGTGCACGCGCTTCCCCCGTTTCCTCCGCGTCCAGCGCGCTCCCACCGCTGGGTTGGGAAGCGGTGCGCGCGCAGGGAAGTTGGCTCTGCATTTCCTCAGGTTGGAGCATTGCACTGCAAAGCAAGTTGCCAGTCAAAGCTGAAATAGAGAAAGAAAGAGAAAGAAAGAAAGGCAAAGTCTGATAAGAAAATAAAATTAGACAGGTCATCAACTGGTGGTGTGGGGAGTAAATCACAGGACGAATAATATTAATAGGAGAATATATATTTTTTTATATTCTGCTGGAAGCCACCCAAGGTGGCAGGTGGGCAGGGTATACAGTGGTACCTCGGGTTACATATGCTTCAGGTTACATACGCTTCAGGTTACAGACTCCGTTAACCCAGAAATAGTACCTCCAGTTAAGAACTTTGCTTCAGGATGAGAACAGAAATCGTGCTCCGGCGGCGCAGCAGCCCCATTAGCTAAAGTGGTGCTTCAGGTTAAGAACAGTTTCAGGTTAAGAGTGGACCTCCAGAACAAATTAAGTACTTAACACGAGGTACCACTGTAAATAATACAATTATTTATTTATTTATTTAGGCAAAAAGAAGAACATGATAAAGGAAAAGGAGATGTAATGGTAATAGAATGAGAAAAATTCAGTGAGACAAAGTTAGAAACTCACAGGCAACAGGCAGAGGTGTAATACCATTTGATGGTTGAAATGTAAGTTGGAGGAAGCAGGAACAAAGAGGAGAAAGGCAGCCTTATAGGCAGCCAAACAAAATAAAGGGAAACACAGTGGAACCTCAGTTTTTGAACGTAATCCCTTTCGGAAGAAGATTCGACTTCTGGAATGTTCGAAAACCGAGGCGCAAAGGGCCGTCAGCAAATTCAGTTGAGAAAACTGAAAAACACGCAGTGGAAGCCGTTCAACTTCCGAGGCGCATTCAAAAACGGAAGCATTTACTTCCAGGTTTTCGGCGTTCGGGTTCCGAAACGTTCGTCAACAGAGACATTCGAGAACCGAGGTTCCACTGTAGATAATCAGGCCCAAGAAATCAGACCAGGCAGAGATCAAGATCATGTAACAGAAGAAAACAATGTCCTGTAGCAGCACAGGAAAGAAACCAGACTAATCAAAATGTAAGCAAGACAGTGTCAGCGAGCCAGCCAGCAATAAATCACACAGAGTGGGTGAAGTTAACTCTTTATTAGAAGAAAGAAGGCCTGCTCAGGGGTGCCAGGCCTAATGAGCACAGCAACTCTTCTTGGTTGGCAGTTGTGGAGGCTGAAGGTCCCCATCTTCCCACAGCTGCCTAAATCTCCTCCTCCCCTGGGTCCTTCTCAAGCAATCTGAGACTATATCAATGTGCCTGTCTCTGCTTCGCCCACTTCATACCCCTTCTGGTCCAGGAGAAGGGGAGCTTGATGCAGCAGGGTGGGGAGACCCCCATGCCTCTTCACCAGCTGGACTTCTCTCTGCCTCTTGGCCTCCTTCCTCTCTTGCTTCTGCTTCTGGACATCTCTCTCCCACAGACTCTCCCTGCTCACTAAACCCTGTTACCTCTTCATCTTCTGACACCTCCTCCTCCCTGGCTTCTCCCTCTTCTTCCCCTGACCACTCATCGTCTTCCTGCCACCACTTCCCAGGCTCTGAGCCTTCATCCCTTAGGGATTCCCCAGCTGGTGCCTCCCACCTTTCCTCTGTGTCCAGCCCAGTGGTGGCCAAACTCAGCCCACCAGATGTTTTGGGACTACAGTTCCCATCATCCCTGACCACTGGTTCTGTTAGCTAGGGATGATGGGAGTTGTAGTCCCAAAACATCTGGAGGGCCGAGTTTGGCCACCACTGGTCTAGCCAGTCCATGACACACAGTAAGAGGAAAATGATAAGCTGCACTGCCTTTACTTGTTTGAGCCTAAGTTTATCTTTTTGGAGAGTTCCTCAACGTTGCCCAGCATGTCTGGCTTCCTTTGGGGGCAGGAATTGGTTTCCAAATTAACCTCACGACAGCAGCTTCTTCTTAAATCTTCATTATCTGACTGCTCATATCCACATTGGCTTGCATGTGTGTATTTAATCGGGGCAATCTTGAGACAAAAACCTTTATCTCTTCCTTTTCCTATTCTTTCTAGAGCAAAAGAAGAAGAAGAAAGCACTCAAAAAGGCCCTCTGAAACAAAAATGCACATTTATGGCAATCTCATCTTCTTTCTATTGGTCAGACTCTCCTCCACCCCCAAATCTGGCAAACTGAGCAGATTGTTTCCATGTCGTGAAAACAGATTTGCTTCCATGAGGTCTACAGCTTTGCGTTCCGCTTCAGTAAAGAATCTTAAGAAGTTGTTTCTCCAATCCAGTGACTCTTATGCTGTGAAATGGGGGCTTTCAGCGATCTCTGGTGTATGCCAGACCACGCTGAAAATAATAAGGGAAAATGCTGGCGGCCAACTGGGTTTGCTCATAAAATAGTCACACACAGAAAAGCAATGAAAAATTCAACAGGTAAAGCCTTCGTAGAGAAGAAAATTAAATAACAGAGATAAATTTAAGCTGCTTTTCTACATGGCCATTTGCTGTAAATGGTGAAGCAGAGATGATGTGAAGTTTGTAATCCTCCAAGCTACAGGTTTCTTTCACATCATCATCACATGCTGAAAAGAAAATTCACTTTTCAATTACAAAACAATGAACTGTGGGCTGATGGTTTTGCTGTTTTATGGGTTCTTTTGCTTTCCGGGACGGTAGTTCGATTGTAATTCGGTGCACGTCCCCTTGAATGCACAGGTGGAAAAGCAAGAAAGGGATGTCGTCAATAAATGGTGATCCACAAAGATAGCCCTCACAGAGCTACAGTTGCTAGGATGGTTTAGCAATCAGTTCCTCTTCCACAGGGATCTCTGGGAATAGTAGCTCTGTGAGTGAAACAGGGCCCTCCTAGCAACTCTCAGCATTCTTCACAAACTACAGCTCCCAGGATTTTGCTGCTTTGAAAGTGTAGTGTGAATGTGACCGAAGTCCTGGCTTGGGCCTCCTTGAATTCCTGTTGGGATCAAGAAATGAGGATTTGATTGGCACCTTGCTTTGCAGTGCAATGCTCAACCCTGGGGAAATGTGTGTGTGTGTGTGTGAGAGAGAGAGAGAGAGAGAGAGTGTGTTTCTGGTTTCTCTATAGGTAGTTGGTACAGCGGTGTGCGGTGAATACAGCTTCTTTGATGGAAAAGCTGACTCACAATGCCAAAAACACAGGCCAAACCTGATGCAGTTGCAAATGTGCGGTTCCCATGTCTTCCACCACCACATAGTTGTTCATTGCCTATTGTTTTCTCCTGCTCTGAAGTATAGGACCCGAAGCAATGGCTTCCAGTTACAAGAAAGGAGATTCCGACTAAACGTCAGGAAGAGCTTTCTGGAGGTAACAGCTGTTCAGTAGTGAAACAGTCTCCGTTAGGAGGTTGTGGGCTCTTTTTCCTTGGAGGTTTTAAGTACAGTGGTACCTTGGTTTAAAAACAGCTTAGTTTATGGGAGAAGAACACTGCAAACCCAGAGGTCGGTGTTTTGGTTTGTGAACTTTGCCTTGGAAGCAGAACATGTTCTGCTTCCTGTTGAGTGTGTTCCATTTGTAAATTGAGTCCCCTGCAGCTATGAAAAAGCATGTCTTGGTTTAAGAATGGTTTGGTTTAAGAACGGACTTCCGGAACGGATTAAGTTCAAAAACCAAGGTACAACTGTATATTGAAATAAATGTGTTGAATCAAAAGACTTAACAAAACATCGTTAAACAATGAAAAGGCAACAATCATTTCATTTCCTACACCCTTTATTTACACCACTGTAAATTGTAAAAAATTAATAATTGGTGTTTGCTATTTAGATCAATCCGTATAGCTCATTGAGTAGAGCACGAGACCCTTAATCTCAGGGCTGTCCTTTGAGCCCCACGTAGAGCAACAGATTCCTGCAGGGGCTGGACTTGAAGACCCTCGTGGTCCCGTCTAACTCTTCCATCATTCTGTAATCTAAGGGCATTTCTTTCAAGTGAAATCATTCTCTGCGCACTCAAACACAGTTCAAACACAGTCAAAGGTTTTAATAAAAAGTAATCTTTATGAAATATACTCAGAGTCGCAAAGTGATTTCATGCTCTTTATTCAGCTCATAGTGGTGAGGAGGAATGAATGAATGTCCCCTCAAAGTATCTGCTTTATATACATTATTTACACAATGGGCTGCACATGATTGGCTAATTCCGGAATTCTACTGTAAGCCAATCAGGTTGTGGATTCACTTCTATCTGGAGCATGATTGGGTGGTTCCTGCCAACCAATCATAGTGCTGCATTGTTCTAGGACCAATCAGACTGCTGCATTCTGAATCCTATTGTTCTAGGACCAATCAGACTGCTGCCTTTTGAATCCTATTGTTCTAGGGCCAATCAGACTGCTGCAGTTTGGATCCTATTCAACTCAGTACATAACACTTTATTAAATAGTTTTCCAGATGAAATACATTGTTTACGAGAGATTTGCATGGGGAAATCTTTTCGATTCCTCAATAATAAGGGGCAGTGGGGTGAGGGAGGCCAGGGCCACATGTACACCATTTCATGTGCTATGAAGCCGCTTTAAACACTCATGGCTTCTTCCCCCAAAGAATCTGGGAGCTGTAGTCTGAAAAGGGTGCAGA